TTAATTACTTTATTATGACTCCCCTGTTTGCCGTGGTCAAATCTTGCAATCAAAAGTGAGTCGACTTCCTGTTCTCCAATGAACTCCAGATTTTGCACACATACTCAGATCCGGAGACATCAATTAATTGGCCCTTTTAAAGCAATTCACATTTTTGTTCTTGTCTTAATGCACGGCTTATTAATCCGACGTTCATTTGGGTGAGGTCACAAACGCCACGGACCCACGAACTCCGGATTCGCCTCGCCCACGAAGCAGGCGCCCGGTCGTCTTTCGTGATCAAGGTGTCATCCGTTTCCCCTTGTCCGGGCGAGCTACAGCCACACCTCGGTATAGGGCCGCTGTGGAATACCTCGAATTTGGTAAGACGTCGTGTTCTGACGAGAGAAGAACGACTTGGGATGCGACGTCTCGGGATGCGACGTCTTGGGATATGACGTCTTGGGGTACGACGTGTTGGGATATGACGTTTTGGGATATGACGTCTTGGGGTACGACGTCTTGGGGTACGACGTCTTGGGATATGACGTCTTGGGATATGACGTCTTGGGGTACGACGTCTTGGGGTACGACGTCTTGGGATATGACGTCTTGGGATATGACGTCTTGGGGTACGACGTCTTGGGATATGACGTCTTGGGATATGACGTCTTGGGATGCGACGTCTCGCTTGGGATGCGACGTCTTGGGGTACGACGTCTTGGGGTGCGACGTCTTGGGATGCGATGTCTCGCTTGGGATGCGACGTCTTGGGACACGACGTCTTGGGATATGACGTCTTGGGGTATGACGTCTTGGGATATGACGTCTTGGCATATGACGTCTTGGGATATGACGTCTTGAGATACGACGTCTTGGGGTACGACGTCTTGGGGTACGACGTCTTGGGATATGACGTCTTGGGATATGACGTCTTGGGATACGACGTCTTGGGATATGACGTCTTGGGATATGACGTCTTGGGGTATGACGTCTTGGGATATGACGTCTTGGGATATGACGTCTTGGGGTACGACGTCTTGGGATACGACGTCTTGGGATATGACGTCTTGGGATATGACGTCTTGGGATATGACGTCTTGGGATACGTCTTGGGATATGACGTCTTGGGATACGTCTTGGGGTACGACTTCTTGGGGTACGACGTCTTGCTAGAACTTGTATGGGTCGGGATGAGTGAACGATGTACGGTACCCGCGTATACACCACCCCCAATAAAGCTCTAACAAGCAGTAACAGTATTGCGTGGAATGACCAGACAATGTCACACTTCAGGAACATTCTTAGAAAAAGGCTAAAAAAAAATAAACTACAAATGGGCAGGTTTTTAGTAAAAACTCAAACCTGGTGAGCCTCAACCACGTCCAAGTCAAGAAAAAAAAGACAGAAAATAGAAAGAAAAACCCCCAACCAGAATTTAATCTTCCTGAAGTTTTAATGGAAGGGAACTCTCGTTCCAAAACAATAACATCTCCTCCTCATCATCCTCCTACCCTTCCTCACCACCATCCTCGCAGGCCATCAACGCCTCTCAGCAAGCTAAAGTGACGTTGCATTTGATTTTTATTTCAATTTATTTTGATTTATGTATGCATTTTAGTCGTGAGTAGCGTCTTAATTATTTGACACGACCCCATTAACGTATAATGTGCCGTATAAAATATCATTTCTTATACTCCGGGACGGATTATTTCCTTTACCCTGATTTCTTATGGGAAACATGCGTTTTGGTATTCGTCATTTTCGTTACAAGTCCTCCTACCTTCTGGAACGAATCATCGACGAACACCGAGGTACGACTGTATTTACATTTTTAGTAGCACTTTAAAATAAAACCGTTGTTTTTTTTTAACAAAACACTATTTTTATAAGGAGTTTATTTTTGTGTGACACAGATATAGCCAGGAGGTTGATTCTGTCGATAGTGTGGGAGACTCAAGCAGGTCATGGATGCAGAGTAGAGACCCGTGTTACGTGCAGTGTGTGTGTGTTAAACTTCTTTCACACCGTACGTAGCCAACTGTGTTAATCTGAGGTGTGTGTGTTAAACTTCCTTCACACCGTACGTAGCCAAACGTGTTAATCTGAGGTGTGTGTGTGTTTGTTAAACTTCCTTCACACCGGTACGTAACCAACCGTGTTAATCTGAGGTGTGTGTGTTAAACTTCTTTCACACCGTACGTAGCCAACCGTGTTAATCTGAGGTGTGTGTTAAACTTCTTTCACACCGTACGTAGCCAACCGTGTTAATCTGAGGCGTGTGTGTTAAACTTCCTTCACACCGTACGTAACCAACCGTGTTAATCTGAGGTGTGTGTTAAACTTATTTCACACCGTACGTAGCCAACTGTGTTAATCTGAGGTGTGTGTGTGTGTGTTAAATTTCTTTCACACCGTACGTAGCCAACCGTGTTAATCTGAGGTGTGTGTGTTAAACTTCTTTCACACCGTACGTAGCCAACCGTGTTAATCTGAGGTGTGTGTTAAACTTATTTCACACCGTACGTAGCCAACTGTGTTAATCTGAGGTGTGTGTGTGTGTGTTAAATTTCTTTCACACCGTACGTAGCCAACCGTGTTAATCTGAGGTGTGTGTGTTAAACTTCCTTCACACCGTACGTAGCCAACCGTGTTAATCTGAGGTGTGTGTGTGTTAAACTTCTTTCACGCCGTACGTAGCCAACCGTGTTAATCTGAGCTGTGTGTATGTTAAACTTCCTTCACACCGTACGTAGCCAACCGTGTTAATCTGAGGTGTGTGTGTGTGTTAAACTTCCTTCACACCGTACGTAACCAACCGTGTTAATCTGAGGTATGTGTGTGTTAAACTTCTTTTACACCGTACGTAGCCAAGCGTGTTAATCTGAGGTGGGTGTGTGTGTGTTAAACTTCTTTAGCACCGTACGTAGCCAACCGTGTTAATCTGAGGTGTGCGTGTGTTAAACTTCCTTCACACCGTACATAGCCAACTGTGTTAATCTGAGGTGTGTGTGTGTTAAACTTCTTTCACACCGTACGTAGCCAACCGTGTTAATCTGAGGTGTGTGTTAAACTTATTTCACACCGTACGTAGCCAACTGTGTTAATCTGAGGTGTGTGTGTGTGTGTTAAATTTCTTTCACACCGTACGTAGCCAACCGTGTTAATCTGAGGTGTGTGTGTTAAACTTCCTTCACACCGTACGTAACCAACAGCGGAAGCCAAATACTCCGGGCGCGTGACCTTGATCCTAAACGTGGATGGGGCGGGGGGGGGGGTAAAACCGGAGGACCCGGAGAAAAATCCACACGCGCACGGAGAGAAAGAGAGAGAGATAGAGAGAGAGACACCGCAACATCCAACACATGCAGGCGTCGTCGGGGTCGGGATCGGAACCGCGACCTCCCGTACACCAGGCGAGGTGGTTAACATCTCCTAGCCACCGTGGCGGGATGCCCATTAAAACTGGGCAGTGAGCGTAAATATAAACGCGTGTCGTTATGCCCTCCACCGCCCGACACGGCCAATCGGTAAGGGGTTTGTCGCGTGAACAGCGATCCGTTACGAGTTTCAGCACACGCTGGAGGGTAAAACTCACTGCAACAATTTTCAATGCGAGGAGTGTGACGTTTGGCCATTAATTGCAATAACAATAACAACAACAACCAGCATCATCAGGCGTACAGTCAGAGGTTTTTTTTTATAAATTTCTGAATGAGTGAAGGTCAGGGTGGGGGAGTGGCTTAATTTTGTCGGTGGGGGAGGGGCCGAATGAGGAGGCGGGGCCAGCGAGACCCAATGGGTGGTGTAGGGGGAGGGGTCTAAGCAGGGAGGCGGAGATATCGCGAGAGCGAGAGTGGGGAGGGGCTCGGATCTGTGTGTATGCGTGGTGGTGATTCTGATTCCGAATGGGGGGGCGGGGGGGCGTGGTTAAAAAAAATGTGGGTGGGGCTGAATGATGGGGCGGGGTCTGAACGACCCAATGGGTGGATGGATGGATGGAGGGGGGTGTGTACTTAGCAAGCAAGCGGAAATATCGCGAGAGTAGGGTTGGGGGAGGGGTGGGATCTGTGTGTGGGGGGGGGTGGTGGAGTGGTGGAGTGGTGGATCGTAGCCCCCCCCCCCCCGCGTCTCACATGACCCCCGTGTTTGGTCCCGTGACCGCGGGTCCTATACCCGGCGAGCACATGGACATGTTGGGGCAGAGTCTCGCAGGCAGGTGAGTCGTCTGGGTGGCTAGCCACCGCCACCACCACCACCACCGCCTTCACACCCCATCTTCCACCTCATCTCCCCTCCCCATCATCATCATCAGCTTCTTCTTCCTCTTTCCTCCCACCTCTCTCCTCCTCCTCCAGCAGTAACAGCAGCAGCAGGCCCTTTGTAATAGCAGAGATCGCGAATGTAACGCGACGTGGACCGGGGCCTGCTCGCTCGCCTGCCCGCACCACTACCACCATCACCTTCACACCCCATCTTCCACCTCATCTCCCATCATCATCAGCTTCTTCTTCTTTCCTCCCACCTCTCTCCTCCTCCTCCTCCAGCAGTAACAGCAGCAGCAGGCCCTTTGTAATCGCAGAGATCGCGAATGTAACGCGACGTGGACCGGGGCCTGCTCGCTCGCCTGCCCGCACCACCACCACCACCACCCTGGGCCATGCGCTGTGGCCTATAGGCCTCGGGGTGGATCGAACCCAAACCGTCGGATTTTGAAGGAGGGGGTAGCTGCTGCTGTTGTTGTTACTGCTGCTGCTGTTGCTGCTTGTGGACGTGTCCGCATTTCATTTTGCGGACCTTTTACAAAAAAATAATAATTCTTATTGGGGTTTTTTTTGTAACTTGCTGATTCTCGTTCGCTCGTCGGGCCTAGTAGGCTGGCTGCTCGCGATGTTGTTAGCCTCGCTGACAGAGGTTGATTGTGAGTGTCAGTCCGGCCCATCGCCTCTCGACAACAACAACACAACAACAACATAATAACAACACAACAACAACACGAGTGCAAGGTAGATCCTTTGTATGCCTTGGCTTCAGGCTGTTCACGATGTTTGTACTTTGGCTCGGGAACCTCGCTGACAGAGGTGGATTGTGAGTGTCAATCCGGCTCCTCGCCTCTCGACAACAACACAACAACAAACAACACAACAACAACACAAACAACAACACGAGTGCAAGATAGATTCTTTGTACTCCTTGGCTTCAGGCTGTTCACGATGTTTGTACTTTGGCTCGGGAACTTCGCTGACAGAGGTGGATTGTGAGTGTCAATCCGGCTCCTCGCCTCTCGACAACACAACATAACAACACAACAACACAACAACAACACGAGTGCAAGATAGATCCTTTGTACTCCTTGGCCTCAGGCTGTTCACGATGTTTGTATTTTGGCTCTGGAACCTTCGCTGACAGAGGTTGATTGTGAGTGTCAATCCGGCTCATCGCCTCTCGACAACAACAACAACACAACAACAACACACAACAACAACACAACAACGAGTGCAAGATAGATCCTTTGTACGCCTTGGCCTCAGGCTGTTCACGATGTTTGTACTTTGGCTCGAGAACCTCGCTGACAGAGGTGGATTGTGAGTGTCAATCCGGCTCCTCGCCTCTCGACAACAACAACACAACAACAAACAACACAACAACAACAACACAAACAACAACACGAGTGCAAGATAGATTCTTTGTACTCCTTGGCTTCAGGCTGTTCACGATGTTTGTACTTTGGCTCGGGAACTTCGCTGACAGAGGTGGATTGTGAGTGTCAATCCGGCTCCTCGCCTCTCGACAACAACAACACAACAACAACAACACAACAACAACATAACAACAACACACAACAACAACACAACAACGAGTGCAAGATAGATCCTTTGTACGCCTTGGCCTCAGGCTGTTCACGATGTTTGTACTTTGGCTCGAGAACCTCGCTGACAGAGGTGGATTGTGAGTGTCAATCCGGCTCCTCGCCTCTCGACAACAACACAACAACAACACAACAACACACAACACAACAACAACACAACAACACGAGTGCAAGATAGATCCTTTGTACGCCTTGGCCTCAGGCTGTTCACGATGTTTGTACTTTGGCTCGGGAACCTCGCTGACAGAGGTTGATTGTGAGTGTCAATCCGGCTCCTCGCCTCTCGACAACAACAACACAACAACAACAACACACAACAACAACACAACAACACGAGTGCAAGATAGATCCTTTGTAAACCTTGGCCTCAGGCTGTTCACGATGTTTGTACTTTGGCTCGGGAACCTCGCTGACAGAGGTGGATTGTGAGTGTCAATCCGGCCCATCGCCTCTCGACAACAACACAACAAACAACACAATACCAACAACACAACAACAACACAACACGAGTGTGAGACATGAGCAATCAGAACCCCGTAGTTAACACCTCGGCCAGAGGGCTCAAGCAGCTGTAAAGCTTCCCCCCGTGTTGCCGTGTGGGCGATTATAGTTGTTGAGAGAGAGGGAGTCTTTGTCGTGATTGGTGATGATTTCATGTTGGTGGTGTGTTTTTTTGTGTGTTTTACAAGTCTTTAGGCAGGGGAGGATACATGCTACATGTTACTTAGTTGGGATTTCAAGAAGTAAGGAGCTGGTGGCTTGAGCCATAAGCAGCAGTTGGATTTGACCGAGGTCGAGTTGAGTTTTGTTGTTGTTGTTTAAAACTGAGCAAAAACCAAACGTCGGTTTTCTTTTTAGTGCTTGTTTATACTTGGACGTTGCATTTAACGGCGTGTGTTAATAACGCACGAAGGCAATTACATGAATGCGATGTGAAATGTGTTTGTGTGTATTTTTTGTGTTGTGTGTTGTGTTTTTTTTTAAATGTTAGCTAGGTCTTTATAATCGCTCAAACGCGTTTGGTCGATTTGAGTCTCAAAATGCAATTATTGGACGTTATTTTTTTTGTTTTCTTTTGGCAAGCGACGTTTTAACCCTGGAAAGTTGCTACGAGTTTTTTTCCTTCCCTCCTCTCGCACCGTATTCGGACACCCTGAAATTGTTGCGCGTGTTTTATAATGTTAACGTTAAACAAAAATAAAACCGGCGTCTTGAGATATTTTTAATGCGCTTAAGGTAAGCTCCATTCGTCCTCACCGCCACTTGAGCTGTTATTGCTTTAACCAACCGACACTACAATTATGATTATTATTGCGTTAAAGAAAATAAAATATAGACAACGTAGGCATCCCGAGTGTGTGAAAGTAAATGTAAAAATGTTCACTTTGAAATAAAATAAAGTTATCGCCGTCGGGTCTACGAAGGCCTTACCCTAGGCCCGGTGTCAAAACCGTGACGAAATTCGACGCGAGAACAACGCGTTTTTAAAGTCCTTATTTACTTTTGCATTAAATCGCGCAACGTATCGCGCATAAGTTCAACGTGTGTTCTGGTCGCAATTAGTGTTTGTATTTAGCTCGTCGCAAAGGTCGATTTGGTGGTTACGAGGCGAGGCGGACCTCGCGAAGCCTGCACTAGGCCTCGCGAAGCCTGCACTAGGCCTCGCGAAGCCTGCACGTAGACCTCGCGAAGCCTGCACTAGGCCTCGCGAAGCCTGCACTAGGCCTCGCGAAGCCTGCACCAGGCCTCGCGCCGTGCTTTCGCGCACAAAATAAGACGATTAAATTGTCTCTCGTCTCGGTGCACGCCGAGTGTGGTGGCGCGTCTCTTTTTATTTTGTTCGTGTTTAAAAAAAAAAAGAAAACGTGCTGCGTTTGAGTAAAAGTAAAGTTGAAGCGAAGTTTAAAGTTTCGTCGTGAGGCGGCTTTGGATATTGCGGCTGCTTTGGGCTCGGTGGGGCGGTGGGCGGTAGCGTTCTGACAGGCGCGGTTGGGGTTTTGAGTCCCGGATAAAATGATACACAAATCAATTTCTAGATTTAAATCTTTCGTGACTGCAAGGATCCCACACTCTTTTGGTTCTCGATACACAAATCGTGATCTTTTTGTCGAATTTTCCTTCGTCCCCCATCTGTATAAAAACGACGTAAACCTGCTAACTACGTTACGCGCCCATACCCCTGTCGGATCCGTACGGCATATACTCCGTATTCTTCTCGTACAGGTAAGATTTTGGTTTTCGGGTCCGTTCGCCGTACATTAATCGATAATAGGGGGGGTTTCCCACCTTTTTTTTCTAGCAACAAAACAGCTGTGTCAAGATGTTAAAACACCACACTGAAACCTGTGATCATATTTTGGTACTGGCAAAGGGAGGGTCCCCGTGATGTAGATGGTCTACCACCGAGCCCTCATTAATTACTCTGATAGTGGCGTTGTCTTTGTGCTGTGTGTGAAGCCTTTTGGCGTCCTCTGGTCTAACGCCGTTCTGAGACAAGGCTCAAAAGAAAGCCGTCTCTGGTGTGGACCAATCAGTTTCAAGGACAATGCATCATATTATCAGAGTGTTTTCTTTGCATTTTGGCCACAAGTATTGTGGTTAATGCAGACATGATTCCTTGTAAAAAGGTTTCAGTTTTGTTGCCAGAAAAAAAGGGGAAAAACCTATTATCATATTTTGGTACTGGCAAAGGAGGTCCCCGTGATGTAGATGCTCTACCACCGAGGCCTCATTAATTACCCTGATATTGTCATTGTCTTTGTGCTGTGTGACGCCTTTTGGCGTCCTCTGGTCTAACGCCGTTCTGAGACGAGGCTCAAAAGAAAGCCGTCTCTGGTGTGGACTCATCAGTTTAACAGACCATGCAGATAATATCAGTGTGTGTTTTTTTCCTTTGCATTCTGACCACAAGCATTGCGGTTAACGCAGACACGGTCCCTTGGTAAAAGGTTTCAGTTTGGTGTTTTAACATCTCAACGCGGCTGTTTTGTTGGCAGAAAAAAGGGGAAAAACCTATTATCATATTTTGGTACTGGCAAAGGGAGGGTCCCCGTGATGTAGATGCTCTACCACCAAGCCCTCATTAATTACTCTGATAGTGTCGTTGTCTTTGAGCTGTGTGACGCCTTTTGGCGTCCTCTGGTCTAACGCCGTTTTGAGACGAGGCTCAAAAGAAAGCCGTCTCTGGTGTGGACCAATCAGTTTCAAAGATATTGCCCACATTTATTATCAGAGTGTGTTTTTTGTTTGCGTTCTGATCACAAGCACTGTGGTTAACGAAGACATGACGCCTTGTAAAAGGTTTCAGTTTGGTGTTTTAACATCTCAACACAGCTGTTTTGTGTGGCAGAAAAAGGGGAAACCTATTATATTTTGGGACTGGCAAAGGAGATCCCATGAAACACATTAATTATCTATTTGTTTGTGTTTCTCCCTTGTGATGGGACTTTGTAGGATGGACGTTGAGATTTATAAGGGACACGGGGTGACCAATTCAGTCTGAATTGGTCTGTAATTAGGTAGCGCATTGATAAGGGGTTGACATGTATGTAGTGGTGAGTGTACTAGTGGTGAGTGTCTATTTGTTTGTGTTTCTCCCTTGTGATGGGACTTTATAGGATGGACGTTGTGATTCATTAGGGGCACGGTGTGACCAAAAAGGTCTGAATTGTTCTGTGATGAGGTAGGCACTGATAAGGAGTTGACAGGTATGTAGTGGTGAGTGTAGTAGTGGTGATTGTCTATTTGTGTATTTCTCCCTTGTGATGGGACTTTATAGGATGGACGTTGTGATTTATTAGGGGCACGGTGTGACCAAAAAGGTCTGAATTGTTCTGTGATGAGGTAGGCACTGATGAGGAGTTGACGGGTATGATTATAGACCAGGGGTGGGGAACCTTTCTCTGCCAAGGGCCATTCGGATATTTATATAACATCATTCGCGGGCCGTACAAAATTATCAACTTAAACATTTGCCTGTTATATTTGGTCAAACATTTAATTAACTCACTATTAATGCGATGGCTGGGCTTCTCTTTGGCGAGGCGTGTGGTGATGATGTTAGCTGGTATTGACGATGTTAGCCGGTATTGATGATGTTGCTACTCGCAACTGCTTTTCCAGGTTTGCTCCCTAGATTTATTGAATTTCGAGTCCCGCCTGCGGTTGCCTTTGCAGGGCCAGACCAAATGATTTTGCGGGCCCGATACGGCCCCCCACCCCTGTTATAGACAGATACCCATAGAGATCCGTAGATATAGAGCGTACCGTGTCAACTCGGACGGTTCGCTCCGTTTTCTTGTACGGGGAAATTGAGTTCTTAGGTCCAGACGGCGTACAGCCGTTTCAATACTGACAAAAGCATTAATTGTCTTGTTTGTGTTTCTCCCCCTTGTGATGGGACTTTGGAGGATGAACGTTGAGATTTATAAGGGCCACGGGGTGAACAATAAGGTCTGAATTGGTCTGTAATAAGGTAGGGCACTGATAAGGGTTGCCAGGTATGGATTATAATAGACAGAGACCCATAGATATACATAAAGACCCATAGAGATACAGAGATATAGCGTACCGTGTCAACCCATATGGTTTACCCCCCCGTATTCTTGTACAGGGAAATTGAGTTTTCAGGTTCACACGGCGTGAAGCCGTTTCAACACGGCCAAAACATTGTCTATTTGTTTGTGTTTCTCCTTTGTGATGGGTGATCAATAATGTCTGAATTGGAATGTAATAACTTAGGCACTGATACGGGGTTGACAGGTATGTATGTGTATCCATATAAACTATGTTTTTACTCTTACCAGGTAAGGCCCCACTGAGCTGCTATGTAGCTACTTTTTTCAGAAACTACCTAGCCATCACATGATAGCTCAAGGAAGTTAGCTTATCATCAGCATCATCATCATCATGTGGAAATGTATAGCAGCCAAATACTCTAAAACGCATGATGTTGATTGTAAATGTGGAGGGCAATTGCTGGAGGGGCCCGGAGATAAATTCACGCGACCCCGGGGAGAGAGAGAAAGAGAGAAAGGCAAACTCCAAATATACAGCAGCAAGGCAATAGGGTCGGGCTCAAACCCACGACCTCCTGTATAACAGGCGAGGTAGTTAACATCCCGCCTCCGCGGAGCCCACCAATGTTCTTGAATGTATATATATAAAATTGGTCTATATATATTAACTGCTGCGACATTGATCAGAAACAAGAACAATGACAAGTAAAAATGCAAATAAAAAGCTGAAAATGCGAACAAAAGCATTGAGAAATACGTGCTTTGAATTTAGCTTGAGAGACGGAAGGAACACGTGGGTCAGAGATCGTGCACAACGTTGGAAGGGAATTGTAAATGCGCATTTACACCGGTCGTGTGCTGGAGTATTAACTCCACTGGCATGTTTTGTTCACGTGACAAACCTCACCGATTGGCTGTCGGGTGGTGGCGGGTTTAACGACACATTTATATTCGCGATATCTTGGGTCGCGAAAGTCCTGCTCCGTGTTAGAGGCGTCACTGTGACTACGAAACTACGACAAGTAGGATTTTGGGCCATGAGAAATGGGTGTTCATTGGATTTGCAGCCCAAAGGTAGGGGGGACTTACCCCGGGGAGAGTGGGCAAGACGCTTGGTTGATTGTTGCGTTGCAGTTCTGTGCAACTTGCTGGTGACTAGGGGAGTCCATATAATAGCAGTGGATTCATCATGGCTAATGAGGATAATGAAGCCAAATTCTCCATTAATGGAATTATTGGCTAAATTTCGCGAGCAGCAAAAGCAAAGAAACCTTT